GGAGAAGTTTTCGAGAATACTACTGCCAAAAATTTGATGATGAAGGGCAAGGAGAATAACTATTTGCTGGAGACGCAGAAGATGGTAAAGAATTTGAAGAATACTAGTGGAGCTAGTGAAGCTGATACTAAAAGTGAGCATTCTGCAACATCCAAAACTGAGGATGAAGCTCCAAAATCTAAAGAAGCACCAGATAAAACGAAAAAGATCGATTGCAAACCTGTAGAGTCTAAAAATCCAGGTATGGACAAGTCTGGTACCAATTTGGATACAAACTTTGATTGCGCCCAATATGGTAAAGATTTGTCACAGAATTTTGGAAGCAACTTTAACAAACTCAAAAGCAATATTGCAAACATCAACAAAAACATTTTCACAACACATCCTAATGTCAATAGAGTGGAAAAGAACTTTATTCCAAAAATTACAACAAAGGATAGGTTTAAAAACGATGAACCAAATAACGTTGACTCTTCCAATATTGGTTTTACATCCACTACAACTACAGATGGTACTGGTTTCAACTCAGACTATTTTTCAAGTCCTAAAAATTTCAGGTTTATGCGAAAAGTTTTTGGAGACAGTGCTGAAGATTACAGTATCTCTGAACAAAGCCAGGAGTATATTTTGCTTATGAGATTTGGCGAAAGTGCTAACGATACTGGTGCGAAATCTAAGCAATCTAATTTAGGAGTTTTGATAAATAAGAATAATGAAAATAATAAGTTTTATGATGCTGGAAATAAGCAGAAAAAGTCAGGTGATGCCACTGATTTTATAAACAAGTTACATTTAAAGTCGGTTAAAGAAGAGCCTAAGGATAAATCCAAGAAGTTTAAAGCTTCTTCAAAACTTGGCAAGAAAACTAAGAAGTCAAACACCAAATTTTTATCCAGTTACATCAACAAACCACGCTCCTCTAAGAAAAAAAGAGCGAAACGAAGAAAATTTGATGCCCGATTTTTGCACGACTTGAAATGCAAGAAAATTCAATTTACCAAAAAATTATCGAAACTTGGAAGTCGTGATGCAAAGTTTTTAACAAATTACTTCGATAAAATTGATATCAAATCTAATTTCTTGTGCAACGCCGTGTTTCCTTTGAAACTTGCCATAGGTTGTCCTAATTTTTTTGAAATGTATCAAAACAAAGTAGGGAATTTAAGTTTACCACTTACCCCACCAATTTCTAATGGTGAGTACATTAAATCTAATTCTAAGTATCTTCCAAAGCCTGTATGTTTCTCCAAATACAACTTCAAATTAAAGTTTACTAATGGTGGAGACAGTGTGTCCAGTCAATTTGTTCATCCTATAGACGAATTGCCTCAAAAAAATAATTATTCCTCCTCCTCAAAACCTATTCCAAGTTACCAAACCAAATATGATATGAAAATCACATCCAAAGAAAAAGATTGCTTTGATCAATTTTTTGTCCCCGACGACTTCGACACTCTGTTCATGAAAATGCATAACGCTAAAAAATCTAAACTTGAAATGAAGAAGCCTGAAAATATTTTTGATGCACCTCTAGACGAACCGGTGAAAGATGCAGATAAAATCAAGGATAAAACTCTAGATGACGTTTTGGATTCTTTTAAAAATAAGATGTTGAATAAGAACGCTCCACGAAGCAAGCCAAAGCCTAAAAACTGTATCAGCCATATAAAAAGTAAACCACCATCCAAAGCTGAAGACACTGGCAAAAATAAAAAACATTCCGAATCAAATCAAGATGAAAATCCAAAAGATAAAAGTACCAGCGACAAGAACACAAAAGAGGACAATCCAAAAGCACAGTCTCCTCCTACTGGTGGTGGTGCTAATTACACAGACATGATCACCAAAGTTATAAGATACGAATTGAATACTGTTCAAGTTTACCAAGAAACCAAAAACGTTGTGGTGGAAGAAGTTCAACAAATAGTTGATTTGAATAAATTTGACACAATTGCTCGTTTTGATAATAATCCTACAAATCCAGCAGGAGGTGGTGGCGCTATAGGTGGACTTTTGGTGTCCAAGAACAAGAAAGTTGAAACTTATGAAAAGAAATCTGATGGTGCTGATGCTAAGGCTAAGCCTGTAGTTGACAAATTGACAAAGGACAAAGCAATGGATGTTGATAAAAAAGATATTGAGAAAGTGGCAAATGAAAAGGAAGTTTTGAAGTCTTTGAAAAGCTTGGGTAAACATGAAGATTTAAAGAAAGCTGCAAAGGAGTTTGACGTTGCTAAGAAGGTTGTTAAAACTAAGAAACCAGAAGCTGCTCAGGATGCAAGTGATGAAGCAAATATTGAAGAGGTCAAGTCTAATTCCGGAATATCAAAGAATAAGAAACGCGTCAGTAATGACAAAATAGATAACATAACAAAATCTGATCTCCACAAGGTGGAACATAAGATTCAAACACCGCACAAAAACATTAACAATCACAATGATACCATCAAATCTGTAGACGATAGATATGTCCATGAAGTTCCTGAATGCTGTAACGAGAACTTGACTAATGTGAACTTCAGTCACGAGCCATTTACCAATACGGCTGAAGGTCTCAACAAAATGGACAACAAGTCTAAGAAAGCTGAAGCTATTAATTTGGCGCAAAAATTTGAAGATGATGTTAATGCAAATGATGTTTTTGCAGATTCTGCCAAAACCAAAACTGATGCCAAAGGTGTTAAACGTGGTAAAATGTTCAAGAATTTTGACTTCAACACCCTGTCGCACTTTATAAAGCATGGCGTCGTCAAAAACGTTGAAAACAAGTCGAAGAAACCTAAAAAATCACAACATGAACCTGGTTTAGATGAAGAGTACGATGAAAACGAACTGTTGGACACTCAGTTCTCCAATCCTGATTTCAAAGGTAAGGACCAGCCTGACGAACGTACTTTAAGTCCAAAAGAACGCGAACAAATCTTACAAATTGCTGAAAGTGTTTTACCCAAAGTTTATGACGTCCCAGAAACAAAATCTGACAGTGTCAAAAAACCAGAAAAGGTCTTGGACATCAAGTTGCCTAAGGGTTATAAGAAGAGTTCTTCCAAGTTTGGCAAAGATAAACTGTTGTTGATCACCAGGAAGATTCAAGGAAAACAAAGCAAATCTTTGATAGAATTTAACAGAACGAATTTGAATTTGAAGGATTTTGAAGATGACAACAATAATATTGTTGACAAGGAGAACGTCTACAACAAGAGTGAGAATTGGCAGAAAACTGTCAACAAGACTTTCCAGAAACTGGAGAATTTTAAGGGACATCGTAAACATTGACCACAACCAGTTGTTCTTGGTAAAAATTATTAAATTTGTAGTAAATTTGTTATTGTTCTTCAATATAAAACAAATTTTGAGGTTAATAAATAAAAATTTTAATTATTTAATTTTCTTTTATATTTTTCAGTCGAAAACTCCAAGTATTGGTTACTAATTTTTTTATTTGTGATTATAGTAGATGTATTGATAATTATTGTGCTAGAATTTAATCACAATAGTGTTAATGGTTGATCCTGAAGGGTTCGTGGAAACTCACAATTTTATTTAAATGAATTTGTTGGTTTAAATTGTTGATAAAAAAACTTTTCAGTTAGTATATGCTCTCTTTTAGTACTATGCAAGAATTGCATTACCATAACTTCAATGGTTGATCCTGAAGAGCTTGTTAAAACTAGCAACTCTATGAAATGAAAATTTCATTACCAAAGCTTTAATAGACAAACTAATAACTAATAATTTTTCACATCTTAAATTCTTGATTAGTGGTTCAATTGATTATATCTCGAAATGTTTGAAGAAAACTTATCGGTTTTAGTATTTGTTGTTGAAATAGATATATTGACCTGCAACATACAACTGCTTAGTTATTGGAGAACCAATAGTATGACCTGAAAAGCTCTTTAATATATAAATTGACTTTGCTCTACAACTTTACAACCCTTAGTGCACGAATTAATGCAGCAAATCTTCATTTTTCTAATCAACGCCAATTTTTATATTTCAACTTAAAACTGCACCAAATTTCAATGAACTGTCAAAATTAATCCAACAAAATGTAATATATTTTTATAAATTTTTGCTAAAAAAACTTAAAAATTAAAAATGTAAAAAAATCAGGAGTAATTTTCCAAATTCTTTATGTCCAATACGATCGTCCAGGTTTTGGGCTTGGTGTTGAATTTTGCCAAGATTGGTGTTCTGCCAATTTTTTTGGGGATGATCCTTTCGGCTTTTTCCGCCTATTTGGTCGTTTTGTATTTCAATGAGATTCAAACGACGTACGAGGTGATATTTATACATTATTTGAAGAAATAAAAATAAATAATTGGTTTATTAGGGAAATTTGCAACTGCCAAAAAATCCCCCATGGCTTAAACCATCATTTTGTTGGCAATCTTAAGAACTTTTTATATAAAAGTTCCATCAAATTTTGTCTATTTTCAAGGAGATCTGCGGGCTGTTCTTCTAACTTGACCATGTGCACGAGTCAAACTGTCTAGTTATATATTTTTTTTAATATTTTAAAGAATATTTTAATATACTTTTTTATTTTTTCAGGTAGATTGGTTGGAATTGACAATGTTTCTGCATTATTTGTCATCACAAGACAATCTTTTGGAACTGACATGCGTCATTTTATTCTACGGAGTTCAAGTTTTTTACGTTTTCGAACAATTATTAAATTGAAAATTTGGGGAAAAAGTACCTAAAAAATTATGGGAGTACCAGGTAAGAATTTTGTGAATATTGTACTTTTATGCAAAACCCTACAGTAATTATCCTAAGAAAAATATAGCAATATCAATACAAATAACTATAAAAATCAATAATGATATTGTTTTCAGATAATTGCAGATGCGAAACTAACTACTATTTTTTTTACAATGTGTTTATAAAGATAGAACTTACTTTTATAAAATGAAATAAAAGACTATAACTTTACTAATATAGTTTTAATTTACAAAACTATTTAAATATATAAATATTTAGTAATTTATCTTTCAACTTGAATCCTGTCGTTGTTTTCTTCCTTTCTTCAATTTTTCCTGAATTTGTGCAAAACTTAGACCTCTTGTTTCTGGGACCTAAAAAAATATTTTATGAACAATTTCATACCAATTAGTTGCATATTGTTTGCTAGTAAATATAAAAAATTTATTCCAATAGTTATCCTATATTGCAGTAAATTATCTGGAATATAGTTAGAAGATATCTGTTAAGCAATTTTTTCCAAAGAAACCATATTTGTATCAATTTTATTCAGCTAATAATTACCGTGAACAGCACAAAGACAAAGGCCAAAAGGCAGAAGATGCAAAACAACCAGAACAGTCCACCAGGAGTAAGCCATGTTTCCACTTGTGAAAACATCAAGGAAACGACAAAGGCAAAAAAGTTGCAGGTGGATGCACCAACAGCCATCGCCTTTGAGATCAAATGTCCTGGAAAAATTTCACTCATGATCACCCAAGTTATGCCTCCAAAACCTGGAAAAAATTAACCAATTAGTGAGCAGACCAAAATAATCACCAATAGGATCTCTTGGTATTAGAATTAGGAGCCAGTCTTCTTACCAATTATGTTGGAAGTGATGAACACCAAAATTGCAACAATTGGTACAAATTGGACAGCACTGGACTCCAAATTTTGCAGGAACACGAAATAGGCGCCAAAAATTAACTAAAAGAAATTGTTGTCTAAAAAATTGGTGCCACTTATTTGGTTGGTGCTATTTGTATTGTATCATTTACCAGTGATATGGTTGATCCTGCAGAAGAAATCAAAAGCAGGATCCTCCTGCCCATTTTGTTGAACAACCAGGGTGTGAACAGGCAAAGGACAACTTGGACACAACCTGAACAAAAAATTGACACAAATCAGTCCATTGTACTTTGTCAAGTATAGTTAAAATACTTGGTACCAATTATTATAGCCAAAAAAGCAGGACTCAAATCTGTATTTGTCCTCTGGAAAATTGGTTCTGCATAAATCTGAACTGCTGTAGCTCCTGATAGTGGAATAGAAACTGCCAAGCCGGTCATGATCTAAAGAACAGCTGTGTAATAAATAAATAAATTCAGATTGTTTTTATATAGTTTTGTTCTTACACATAGAGGCCATCGCTGCTCTTTGTTTGAAAATAATTCTTTATAAGTTCCTGCGTTGTTCGACATCTCTTGCACCATGGACTGTAATAAAATGACTCTTGTAATTTTAAACAATTTGAATTATGTATTTATGAAAATTATAGTAAATTATATAAACAAACTTTTATTTGTCCTGCTTCGCGTTCGGCTTCTTCTTTTGTTTTACCACGGATTCGCATAAGACATTTCAACGTGCCTTCTTCGTTGCCTAAAGAATAGTAAAAAAATCTAAAAATCTGTTGTCTAATTTATTTCCTATTATTTTTTACCTTTGGCCGCATAATAGTAAGGACTTTCAGGCATCCAGATAAAAGTTAAAATCAACACAACAGGAATAATGCAGCATGCTATGCAGAACCATTGGTAGGAGCAGAATGGTCCAACACAATAAGAGTACAACATTCCCAAGACGAATACTTGCAGAAGAGATCCTAGGCCACCTCTGTTGTCATCCTAGAGAAAAAACAGAAAAAAATCTTGAAAAAACTTGATACAAATCTGAATTTCACAATATGTTCTACTTGCTTCTGCAATTTCGGCAACATATCTTGGAACTATGGAGAAAACGACACTTCCGGATAGACCTATCAAAAATCTTGCTACCAAAACCTGGTATATAGATGTGGCGACCACAATCAGGATCCAACTGATCAACGTTGGCGCTGCCATCCACAGAATAGTCTTTTTGCGTCCAATCTTCTCTGCCATATAGGCTAACGGAAAAGGACCTGAGGAGGAAATTGAGATTAGCATCTAAAAACCAGTTCTGGTAGAACTGGTGAATTCAGGTGGATGTAAGGATTTTTATCCATGTTTTACCTATTGCTATCCCCAGACAGACCAAAGCTGCCAACATCATGGCAAAATAAGGTTCTACAGGGCTGGAAAATGGTGAATAGTTTTTGTTACCCAATCTTGCCAGAACTGGAGATGACCAGGAGAAGGCTGCACCGATTCCGAAGGAAGATATGTTTGCTGAATAATAAAAACATTACTATTAACTACTTTACTGAATAATTTTCTAATTTATCTGCAACCATTTGAAAGTTATGAATCGTATAATTTAAATATTGCCACTCACCACAAATTGTCGCCACATACTGCATAAACCGACCCTTTTTCATTTGAAAATATTAAAAAAAATATTGCGAAGTACAAAAAATTATAAAATTTGGCAGATATGAAAACAAAGAAAAACTATCTATTTCAATTCTATCAATATATTTTTTTGACTTTTTGACACAAATTGTCAAAAAAATCGTATAAAATGAAATTTAATATATTAATGAATAATTTTTATTAATTTAATAATTTATCTTTAATAATAATAATAATAGTTATTAAATAATTTAATTAAATAAAATTTATTCGATGTGTAATGAACGTTGCGTATGCCTGTCTGGCGTTTATATTTCAGGTATTAAAAATAATATAATATAATAATATAAAAATAATATATAATATAAATAATATAAATATATATTCATATCATGCTTTTTGACGCTGCATCAACTTTAAAAGGCAGTTTGCGTCAACAAAACGTATTTCGAAGTTTATATCATATTAGACAATATTGTGAATTATTTAATTTTTATAATTTTATTAAAGACTGTATTAAAATTTCAGTTACTAGGAGCACTTACCTTCTTCACTGGATTGTGGATGATAAAATCAAAACTAGGATTGATTTCATTCATAAATTTTGTAAGCAGGGACTTTGTTGAGGCTCAGGTGAATATATTTGTTTATTTTGAACCCATTCATTACCTGCATAGCCAAAAATGGCTCCAGAAACGTCCCGAAGCGGGACGTTTTTGGGGGATTAGTCCTAATGCACGTGGTTTGTCTTACAAACCTGTTTTTTTTTCTAGGAATATACAGAGCCGGCTCATTTACAAAAGTATTCATATTTATTATTAGTTTTCGGGGCCTTGATGTTTTTACTGTGTCTATTTGGATGCATTGCTGCAGTCTTGGAAAGGTGTTGTCTCATAAAATTGGTAAGAAAAAAAAAAGTAGGAAATCAGATAAGTCAAAAAAGTGTATATATTGCACTATTAAAATTTTGTTTGATTAACAAGAAATTCTATTTTTTTTTAAGTTAGCATCCATATCTCTGATCCATAATTTATTTTTTAGTGGGCAATTTTAGTAATAATCTTATTGATAATTCAAATAGGAACTTCGGTTATCGGATATTATAATAACAGAGTGGTAAGTTCAATTTTATTTTATATTTAGTTATAAAAAATGGTTATATTAAGTTGAAATTTGTAAAAATTAGTTTTCAAAAAAGTATGTAAAGTTGTCTCAAGAAGCTTCTTCAAGAAGTTGTCTTCAAGGCGTGATTTTTTTTATAAAAATAGAAAGATATTAATAGCAATCTCAAAAAGTATCCAAAGTTTTTAAGGATGCATGCTTTTCAAGAAGCTTTTCAGGACGTTCTGTGCATAATATAAATTCCACCATAAACTGATGAAATCTGGTCAACAACATTATAAATAAACAATCACGCGACAAAAAATACTTGAATCTGAATCTTTTAAACAAAATTATTTATTGTTCTGTTTTTTTAAAGAACTCTTCAGGCAGTACAATTTATTACATGTTTTATTGTAAATCGACAAATATTTGAATCTTTTTATATTTTTTAGAGACCGAATGCGCTTTCTGATGTTTTTAATGTAACTTTGGAGGCTTATAAGAAAAACGATGAAATTTCAGTAAATGCTTGGGATCAGTTGAATAAAGGTAAATATATATTTAATAATAATAAGTAAATAAAACCAATGAAAAACAAATTAAATCGCTTTTTAATTCACAAATAATAACATTCAGTTTCAATTAAAAAATATTATTTACAACTATAAGGTTTTAAAAGTAAATTGTCCTGAAAATTACCATTGGATTACCTGAGATTTGATGTAAAAATGTTCTCCAGACCTAGATTTTTCTAACTTGCCAATATGCCATCATAGTTTGTTGTATATTTTTAGATTACCAATGCTGTGGAAGATACAATTATTCAGATTTTGGCACTAAAAAACGCCCAAAACGTGAATGGTGGCCTTTTCATGATGACACCAGAATTCCTCAAAATTGTAAGTGCCCACAAAACAACTAAATATCTATAAAACATCCACAAAATCATATCTTTATCTAGTAAAATATCCACAAAATCCATTCTGATGTTACTTTATCTATAAGTTCACAATCTGAATTCTGTTTATACTCAATATATGCTAAACTATTTGCTGGATTTTACTATTTCAAGTGCAACTTTTTGATTCCTTGGACAAGCAGCCGGTTTTTAATGATGATACTACGCAATTTGATGAAGAAATCTTTAAGGAACGTTTTAAATCTTCTGTGACGTTAAGTGGAGAGTCTATGGATTCCTGCTGTAAACCTGGACATAATTGTTCTGCTCTGGTGAATGACGATACGTCAAATTATAGAAGGGTAAAAGATAGTAAAGGATAAAGATAATTAATATTATTGACTTAAATGAGTAGTGTTGTTCAATACCAATCTTCACAATTTATTAGAAGCTTAAGATGTTTTTTTTTCCAAATTGTAAGTTGATCTTTGTTTCTCTTTAGGGATGTCTGATAATTCTGGAGCACAAGTTGAAAATAAACAGATTCCTGTTGGCTACTTTTGGAGTTATTATACCATTTTTGAAACTGTTGATGTTTGGATGTGCTTATTTGTTGTTTTCCAAACTTTTTTGCAAGTAAGTTTCAAAATTTGCAGGTTTGCATTTAACAACTCCATCCTTAAACGTTTTAGTTAATGTATGTTACCAAATGTCTCAAGTCTGATGAATTGTTTTGACCTGTGTGTATAGGTGTCATCCTATTAAATGCTATGATAATTTATTTCCTTTCTTTAAGTTTATTTATTTTCAGAAAATGTGACTGCGGTCGAGAAAATTGTGATTGTAATAACAAATCATGTTCCTTGCCTTTTGGAAAATTCAAGAAAAAAATTGAACCTGCCAAAACAATGCCAATATTTGGAGAATGCACTGCTACAGAATCTCCATCCACCACCTGTCCTGTAGTTTTTGAGAACAACATTCCTCAAATGTTCCAAACACCTTGCGCCAACGAAGGTATACACCCAAAGATAAAATAATGCACTGCAATAATGCAATTTCTTATATTCAGGTGGTTCTCCATGCCCATATGCCCAACAAGATGAATGCCATCAACAATCACAGCCTTGCCCTGGAAATGCTTCCCCTGGACAACCTCACGAATGCGCTCATAGATCTCAGTGTTGCCAGAAGACTGCTCTCCAAAATCAGGAATGCCCAAATCAAAGTCACCTAGTTCAAATCCATCCACATGCTTGTGGTGATGCTGCAGTAACTTGTAGGATGGAAGCATCAGGAAGTAGAATAGATAGTCCTTCTAGATTAACAACAGATTTGCTGCCTGTGAGGAAGAAGTCTGCTAGGTTTACTGAACTCAGGAAAGTTACTAGTTGTCACCCTAAGTTTGAAGCTCACAAGGAGGTAAGTGGACAAACCAGGAGTCCAGTACATTCAAATTCTAAAAACTATTATTCTTTATTATTATCTATTACTCCAGAATACTTGCACGGCGTTGGTGCCCAAAAAAGCCAAGTCCCAAATCTGGTGTGACGATTGTCCAAAAACTATAGACTATTGTCCACCTGTTGATGTAGCAACACCATCAGTCAGAGACAGATGCAGATTGGAACGCGAATTGCACGGCCGAGAAGTCGATCTAATGTACCAGAGAGAGAAGCTGCTATTGGAGCAGAAGTTGCATCACAGAGAACAACTGATGTGGGAACATGAACAGTTCAGGAGACACCAGATGATCAAGAGGGAGAAACAGTTTATGTAAGGGGAAAAGGAAACAACTCTATGTTTAATTTGTTAACCAGATATTAAAAAAAAGTTGGATTGTGAACTTAATAAAGTATAACATCACAATGGATTTTGTGGATATTTTACTAGCCCAGACTTGATGAAGATTTGTAAATGTTTTATGGATATTTAGATGTTTTGTGGCTACTTTATGTTTCAAAACAAATATTATAATTTTAGCTTGATCTCTTTATTGTAATGCAGATTTGGTTTCCATTGCTGGTTAGTACAGTCTTCTTTTTTAGGTACAAGGCTCACCAGATGAATGTGGAGCAGGAGGTGCACAACAGGGATTATCAGATCAGGAATGACCATGAGGAGACTTTATTGGAACGTGAATTATTCCAGCAGGACCAGATTGTTGCCAAAATGAAACAACAGCTGCTTTTTCAGAGAGATCTGATGTATGAATTTCAACCATCTATATTTAACAAATTAGTAAAGAATTGAATAATTTACTAAATTGTTCTTCTTCTAGGTATGAACATTCAGATGAAACCAGCAAACTGAGAATGAAATCTTATAACATTTGTGCAGGCGAAAAAATACGATTGTAGCCTGGACGAATTCAGTCCTCCTAAATTCGAACAAAAAGAAACCCAATGCAGTCCTAGTTCTCCACCTAGTCCTAGTCCACCACCATGTGAACCATGTCCTCCACCTAGTCCTAGTCTTCCCCCATGTAAACCATGTCCTTCAGATTGTTCAGAAAAAACACTAAAAATTGTTAAAAAGATACAAAACCTTCGAGTGGGCACGGACCAGGATTCTGCACAGTGTAAACACAAAAATAAAAGTCGATGCAGAGCCGGATCGCAGGACGGCGGGGACAGTTTGTGCATTACTGGTAATAAAAAAAAAATGATAATTGGAGAAAACTATATGTTTTAATGTATAGATTAAAAACATGGGTTCTATGGAATCATTATCATTTTAGCAATTATAGTTTTAACATTAATGATAAATTGGATGAATTAGTTCCATTAATGTCTAAATTATTAATCATGGTAAAAAATAGTTCAAGACCAGCTTGTAGCCCATAATATTGTCTAAGAATTTTTCTTGTACCAAAAAATTATGACCAATAGTTTTTCTGCAGAATTGCTTCTGAAATTTGGGAGCTTTCATAATAGTAAATGAAGTACTGTAAATTTTACTATATTTTCTTGCAAATCTTTTTAACTAATGTCCAAAAATAGTATTAGACTAACTTGTGGGTTACAGAATTATGTTCAATATAAAATAATATCTTTGGAAGCCTCTAATATAATAAATGACATTGACTTTATATTTATGATGGATATATTAAACAAATTTGTTTAATATTATTTAAAATATCCATCATAAATATAAAGTCAAGTCTATTAAAATTTAAAAAAACTGGAAACACATTTTTTTGTTCATAATTTAATTTACTACTAATTAATAATTTATTGTTTATGATTAAATAGTATATAAATTGTAATATATAGATTTTGATTTATTTAATTTAAATAATTTTAAAATAATAGAAAATTTAAAAAAATATTCACTGGTAACACTCTTTAACCTCTCAATGTAAATAAAACCACATGGTCAATTTTGGAATTAAAAAAACTATACAAAAATAATTGAAAACTAAAAATTTTTAATGTAAGCCTTTAGTACAAACATAAATCTTAATTACTACCATAAATTTATATTATTTATATATTAATTTTATTATTATTTTTCAGGTGCAAGAGAAAAACGTCCAGTTTCAGATCAAAATGAATTCCATTACAAAAAACAGCGAATTTAATTATGATTATTTAAAAAGTTCTAAAAGTTTTGTGAGTCAACCTGATAGAATTAATAGTTTTAGTGATGAACATAATTTTAAAACCAACAAGAATTTTGTGATGAATATGAAACTGTAGAAAAAAAGTAAAAAATTTTGTTTATTTACAATGTTTACACAAGGACTGGAAAATTGTAACAAGTATTGTAATATAATGGGTATTACAATTAGTTCTCGATGAATGTAATTGTAATTGTCAAATAATATTTATTTGCAATGTTGACTCGATGACTAAAAATATGTATCGAGTACCATTTATTATGTGTAATTATATACTCGAGGACCATTTGTGATGTGAATTTGTGCCTAGTTTTAATCAAGTGTGATTTCTAATTAGTTTTTATATGAAAAATGAAAATTTTTAGAAATATACTCTCCTCAATTTGAATTGGTGGTTTCCAAATTTATCATTCTATTTTGGACGCCATTTTGTGACAAATGTGTTGATTGAAGGAAGTTTTGCAGTGAGAAAGACTATTAGAGAATTTTATGGACTACAAATTGGTCTAAAACTATTCTTTACTCTGATCATCGGTTTAGAAGATATCAGAGTAAATATCGAGAAATGCACCCTCTTTGGCTTGCCTTGGAGGTTGCCAAATTTATTATTCTATTTTGGACGCCGTTTTGTGGCAGAAGTGTTGGTTGAAGGACATTTTGTAGTCAAGATTTTTAAAGAATTTTATGGACTACAAGTTTGTCTAAAACTACCTTTTACCCTGATCATCAGTTTAGAAGATATTAGAGAAAATATTGAGAAACCTCTTTGACCAGCCTTGGAGGTTGCCAAATTTATTGTTCTATTTTGGAAGTTGGTCTGAAACTACTCTTTACCCTGATCATCAGTTTAGAAGATATTAAAGAAAATATCAAGAAATGCACCCTCTTTGACTTGTTTTGGTGGTGACCAAATTTATTGTTCCATTTTGGACGCCATTTTGTGACAAACGTGTTGGTTGAAGAATATTTTAAAGTTAGGAAGACTTTTAATGAATTTTATGGGCTACAAGTTGGTCTAAGACTATTTATTTACCCTGATCATCAGTTTCAAAGATATTGAGAAGTGTCTTTTTCACTTTTTGTCTTACCCTTGGAGGTTGCCAAATTTATCATTCTATTTTGGACGCCATTTTGTGACAAAAGTATCGGACATACAAACTTTTGTTGTGAGAAAGATTTTTAGAGAATTTTATGGACTGCAAATTAGTCTGAATATATTTTGATTCTTATCTCCCTTCATGAGATTTAGAAGCAAATAAAAATAAACCCACTTCATCTGGCTTGGTTGTTGCCAAATTTATCCTATTTTGGATGTAATTTTGTGACAAAGAATTGGAAGTACACATTTTTGTTAGATTTTTACAGAATTTATGGACTATAAATTAGTCTCAAACTATTTTGGCAGTCAGCACATCTCCCCATCAATAGAAATCTAATGTTTTCTTTGAATCATCCAAATCGGTTGGTCCACAAACAACCACATATACATACATAAATTTTTTCTAAAGTATGCCAAAATGTTCAGAAGGATTATTATATATTTCTTTAAAAGAAAAGAGGCTCTTAGTTTAGATTAACAATCATATATTTATATATAAATCTATTATTATTTTTCACCAAGCAACAACTGTTTAACAATCTCAGGACTCTTCATCAAATTTTTTGGGTTCCTTGTATTCATTTTCAGGCAAATTAACACTTTCATACAACTTTGTATAAATAGCAATGATCACATCAAAGGATCTCTGCTGAATTGTTTTCCTATGGGCATTGCTAATCAACAAACCGACTTGTGGTAGCAACAAAACTTCTGGCATTTCTATTAAGTTGTCCAATTTATTCTAGATAGAAAGAAATATAAATCAGAAACCAATTAATGGATTAATGAAAAGTTAAAATAAATTGTTGGTCAAAGTTTAATTTACGTACAGCAAATATCTTCAAGTTGGAGGCGTCCATTCCAGGCACTTTAGACAGTGGCGGATTAATCTGGTCTTGTAAAATTGTATAAATAGGGCCCAGTGATAAATTGACCACCAAAGAACTGGCCTGTTCTGATGTTAAAGTGTCCAATTGGGCGTCACATTGGGCTTGCAGCCTAAAAGTAAATAATAATAACCAGAATCCATTTTAATTACAATTGATTTTGATTTTAAATACAATTGATTTTGCTAATTACCTTTCAAGTCTATCATCAGTATGCTCGTACAGAGCCAAAGAGCACTTAATGTGGAAAAAACAGTTCAATAAATACACAGACATATCAGTTGTCGACAGACGTGATGCTGCCTCTGTAATGTCCCTTAAAAGGGGGTCCAAGACGCAGGATACGATCTGCAATATTACTAGTATTAGAACAAATTCCTTTACGCAATTTTAGTTCTACTTTTATCACCTTTTTGGTGTCACCTTCTTTTGCTTCAGTGATTGCTGCAACTGATAGAATTTCTTTTAATGTCGACATGAGCTTTATCACATTTTGACTTGGAGATAAATCGTTTGGGGGTGCTGAGTTGTTTATACCTACAAAAAGAAGTAAATTATATATACACACACACACACATATATATATATATATATTATATATATATATATATTAGTATTACAATAAACAAGTATTTAGAGTTCAGGTGTGATTTTACCTGCTTTGAGTTGCTCGTTAACTAATTCTTGCAAAGATGCCATATAAGCTTTTTCAGATTGCTCGATCAGTTCTGTTAAGGTTGCATCTAACACTCCTCCCGATATAGACTTCAACAGAAAAAATATTAATTAATAAAAAGAAACTTTTATAAACATTTATGGATATTTAAAAAGAGTATTAGATATAGGTTTACATTTTAAGATATATCTAATATTAGATATTTGAAGACACGTATTTTAAAAATTTTTGAACATTTCTAGACATTTTTAGACCAATTTAATCTTTTATAAATTTTTACACATAAATATAAAGGAACTAGAAATACAGGATTTAAATAAATATTTATATAAATTTCTTTATATTTTCAGACAAGTTTAAGTACTTTTTTACATTTTTATCTAGGCATGATTTCTAGACAATTTTGTATATATCATAACATTCTGAACCGGATATTTTATACACTTTACTAAATATTTTCAAACACATTTAGATATCCTAAAACACTTTCAAATATCTTCTTGCATTTAAACTTCTATAATTAACCACTTATTTGATGGATTTAAAATTCATAAAATCGGTTCAGCCGTTTTTAAAAAAACATTGACCAAAGGTCAGATTTTGTTAGACACATATATCTTCTTGAATATCGGCGTCAAAAGATTCAGAATGAATTGAAATATAAAAGTAGCAAATTGGATTTTCTGGCAAAAACATAAACTTTTTCTTTGGGAACTTAATAAATATATATTTATATTATACTTAATTAATTAATGATTATTTATTAGCTAGCTTAACTAATTTAATTATACTTAATTAATTAATGATTATTAATTAATGGTAATTAAACTGCAGTGGGAATAATAAACAAGGAAGGGGAAGAAAATCATTGATTTTGTGGTATTCCTTGTCTTCGAGCAGACTACTATTTTTTATTATTATTATTATACTTACATTTTTCATAAGATTTTGATAAAATCTTATAACACTCGTCACGGAGTACAGAACACCAGTTTGTTTCTCTGAGGAAATGATTTTTTGTATCCGGATCTTCAACGGATGACAAACACCATCCACAATGTGACACAGAGCACTTTGTGTATGCTCCGACATATCTGGAAAATAAATAAATATAATAATTATGAATATATATATATATATATATATATATTTATATGTATAATTATTTATTTATTTTTTTACCATTGTTGTCACAGCATTTAAGTAAAGAATTCAAACATTCTCTTTCTTCAGGCATCGCTTGATGCAACCATGCCAACATGTCTCCAATGTACCTCTTAGGGTCATGTGAGTGCATTTCCAGAGGCTCTGTGAACCAAAAATATGAGTTAAGGGACCATTTTTTAAATTCCATCATAATTTAAAATTTTTTTGTTATGAATATCAGAAGTTATTGCTTTTATATTTACCTGTGGTACCTCCAACAGTCATGGCATCTATAAAAGCACGAACTAACAATGCTCTTCTGGATGTGCTATATTCATCCATTACATATCTAAAAAAAAAAAAAAATGAAGTGAAACTTTTAAAGTGACTTCCAATAAGGATGCATTAATTGTTTTATCATGGAGTGATTATGAAAGCACTGTTGAATAGATAGAAACAAAGCGAGAATTGTCTGATAATGTAAGCAGTCTGAAAACACTGCAAGCTGTCTGATAATGTAATAATCACTCCAATAATATTGTAAGCTGTCTGAAAATGTTATAAGCTATCAGAACAAGTTGCAAGTTTTTTGAATAATTTGTGTAGGGTTTAAAAATGCTGTAAGCTGTCTGAAAAAGTAGCAACCTGTCTGAAAATGCAGGAAGCTGTCTGAAAATGCTGTATATTGTGTACAAACGTTGTAAACTGTCTAAAAATATTGTTTATTGTCTGCAAGTGCTATAAGAAATTGTCTGATAATGCTATAAGCTGTCTATAAATGTTGTAAGTTGTTTGAAAATGCTGCAAGCTGTCTGATAATGTTGTATTCTATCAAAAAAATTGCAAACTGTTTGACAATGTTGTAAACTAGCTTATAATGGTGCAAACTGTTTAGAAATGTTGTAACCTATCTGGAAATGTTGTGAGAAAATATTGCAAGCTTTCAGATAATGTTGTAATTTGTCTGGGGAGGCTGTAAACTGTTGTATAGTGATAGAAAATGCTACAAGCTGTCTGATAAATATTGTCAGTTGTCCGAAAATGTAGTATATAATTATCCTTTATCCTCACTTGAATAATACTGGTCGATCTTGCAACTTATTCATAGCTCTTCGAACTAATTGAGAAATTTGTGGATTATCACTTTCATTCCTGCAATGGGATTGTGTCCACCGGTGTAATCTCTCTAAGGCAGCTTCCTAAAACCACAAAAGTATTAGACTTATTAATTTATATGAGTCCAACAATATATTTTAACCAGACATAGACAGGTACTCCAATAAAATAAAAAGGCTGTTAATTTCTCTTACCTCATGTATAGTCATCTGGTCAATAATATCAGAAATGACTTTAAATCCAAACTGTGAGAGGCTTCTGCATTCGTTTCGAATTTGTTTTATCCTGTCTAAGATTTTGAAGAAGTTATCATCGATTGGCATCTCATTTTTGCCAGAACCATAGATTCTATCGAGTTCTTCTTGGGATAATTGGAATTGTTTGACAAAGGCTTCTGCTACACATCTTTGGGCTTCTAGATTCTTACTAGAAATATAAATATAAAATATATACAGATATAAATATAAATTATATCTGTTACCATTACCATTCATCTTGTAGACTATTAGTTTGCTCAATTAATTGATGGGTCTGCCTTTTTGTTTGATTTAATCGGTCTTGCATAATTTGTGCTGAGTTGTCTATTTTATTGACGTCTTCCAGCACAGAGTCTAGAGCTAGTTTAACTTCTCGGAATGCTTGTAAAAAATCCTACAAAGGATGGAAATCATATGAATAAATAAATAAATAAATAAATAAATATATAATATATATATATATATATTATTATTATTATTAATATTATTATTACATCATTCATAGCCAAAGTGCGTTCTTGAATTTGATACTTCAAGTTCCTTCTATTATCAGCAGTGTTTTCTGTATAAAATGTCGATAGATTTTTGAGAGCTTCCAAAGTCTCCTGCGATTAAAAACATATTTATTATGGTTCTAATTATTAGGAATTATTTTTGGAAAACTATTGAGTTAGTATATGAAATAATTCAGAACTATTTCAATTCATAAATATCTATAGTTATTTATGATTGCTCGACAGATAAAAAAAAGTGAGGTTAAAAAAGATAATTTTGAAAAGAGGTGTATGAGAATGACAAATTAAGCTTAAAATATAGTTTATGAGAAATATTTAGGATCTATCTGTTGTTTAATTAATAAATATATAAAAATATTAAATTAATTAACTTGTACAACATTCTAACCTCATCATTGTCCAATCTTGTTTCCAAAATTTTATTGACACGTTGAATAAGGATTGTATTATCTTTATTTGTATCCATTTTATTTATTTAAAAACTTATATATATATTTATAATAATTATTAAACAGCATTTATTCTAATTTTTAAATTAAAATAAACATTTATTTTATTATTTTGACACATCACTGTTTTTATTTGAAAGCGATGACAGTGCTATCTGCAACGATTTGAGGGAACTAATGGAATCAAAATGGCAGATAAAAACGCGGTAAATTTGAATTTTGAAATTAGTATTATATGGATTTAATAGTATTTCAGATTATAGTTTAAAATTATTATAGATTATATATTTCAGCATAAATTTGTTTACGACAATCATACTAATCGAATGCTTTACGATTTATGAGCTAAATATTAATAATATATAACTATATAAATAAATGTACTTTTGAACTATTTCAAATATCTTTGTGGGGCTTTGTAATATTAGACATTATTGTAAATTATTTAATTTTGTAAAATTTACGATCTAATCGTATCTTCACAAGCTAATTGCTTTTGAATCATTCAAATCGGATGCTTTGTTCTCTCAAAAACAGCAATTTTTTGCATATTTATCTCCGTATCTTCGAAACGGCTAGATCTGCCTATGACAAAATCTAATCACCACGTCTTCTCTTAATTACAAATTCAATGTTTTTTGAATCATTCAAATCGGAAGCTTTGTTTTTTCGAAAACTGCCATTTTTACCTCATTATCTCTAAAACGGCTGCACCTGTCTTTGTCAAAACCTAATCACCACGTTTTCTCTTAATTACGAATTAAAAGTTTTTTGAATCATTCGAATCGGATGCTCAGTACTCTCAAAAACTTCGTTTCCATTTTCTGCACTCTTCACTTCGTTTCTCCGAAACGTCTGGACCTGTCTTTGTTAAAAACGAATCACCACGTCTTCTCTTAATTACGAATCAAATGTTTTTTTAATCATTTAAATCGGATACACTGTTCTCTCAAAAACTTAGTTTCCATTTTCTACACTCTTTGCTCTGTATCTCCGAAACGGCTAGACCTGCCTTTGTAAAAAAACAATCACGACGTCATCTCTTAAGTACGAATCAAATGTTTTTTGAATCATTCAAATCGGATGCTCCGTACTCTCATAAACTCAATTTCTTCGTATCTCCAAAACGTCTGGACCGATTTTCCCAAATACTAATCAGCACTAATCCCTATAAGTAGGAATCGAATGCTTTTCGAATCATTCAAATCGGTTGAGCGTGCTCCCGAAAACGTCGACAGAAAATTGCATACACACATACATACATCCATTTTTTCTGAGGTATGCCAAAATGTTCAGAAGCCAGAAACGTAGAGATATGCAAAAAAATTAATTTTGATTTTTGGACGATTACAATAACTGACCACATTTAAGGTTTTTCCATAATTTTACTTATAATGTTGACCTGTTTAAAAGTTACAAGATAAATATTTAATAAATGCATACAAGTTCTCGATAACTTTACTTTATTTTCATATGACTATTAATTAAATAAAAATACGTATATGTTTCGACTAGATAATTTTTACAGATAATCTAAGTTCTAAATATATTTATCTTTATGTCTAAAAGCTTATAAAATAATGACTAGTATAATAATACATTTATTTTAAGCCTAAAACTTATTATTATAGTTATTAATATTATCACTAACCCTTAATTTAGGCAGATTTATTATAGTTTGAAATTTCCAAATAAAACGGCAAAAACTTTGTTAAGAAATCCTAAGAAGTTCACTTCTCTATTTTGTCTTTATTTGTGAATAATACAACATAATAATATATAATATTGTTACATATTTTGTAAAATGTGGGTTTTTTAAACCAGGAACGAGAAAACTAGATTTAAATTTCAAATTTCCATTTGATATCCAAAAGGTATTAAAGTTTGAAGCTTTGGGCCAACAACAGCTTCAAAAATAGCTTTAGGATACTTACCCACAAAACAAATACTGAAACTAGTACATTTTTACAAATCCTATCTCATCTCATCTATCTTTTACCTTAAACTATCTCTTCTTCCAAAAGCAACCCTAGAATCCATTTTATACAAAGCATAAATAAAAGCATCGATCCATTCCAGCCAAATTAGGAAAACTGGCAGCAAAATTATTCCTCACCTAAGGCTATCTTTTACCTAAGGCTATATTTTGCCTAAGGCTATCATTTCCCTAAGGCTATCTCTTCTTAAAACATCTGGCCAACGTCAGCCTCCAAAAGGCAGCCCTAAAATCAACATTATAAAAAGCATAAATAAAAGGATTGATCGCCGAATTGATCCATCCCAGCCAAGTCAGGAACGACATCAGCATATCACTGACTTTGTCCTGTGGTAGAAATGGTGTCAGCAGATAATAGACGAAAAAAGGCAGCCAACAGGCTACAAAACCGCCGACCACAATCGACAGAGTTTGTGCTGTTTTAGTTTCTCTTTTCAAACTTGAAATTCTTTGCCTTAAAGGTTTTGTTGTGTTGTGTAATGGGGGAGAAGTCGATTGGTGCAGAGATAATGGTACCATCTGGAAAAAAGATATGCAATCCTACATCCATCATTAACATTCACATGTCTATTATATTTACCTGTACGTTATCCATCTGCATCATCTTATTGTTCATCAGTTGACATTCACAAGTAGGTTTTATGTTAAACTGATTATTTTTGTCATTGGTTGTCGTTAAATTTGCTAAATTTTTAAATTTTCTAGTCATTGGCGTGCAGGTTCCTCCATCAGCTTCTGATTCTTCTATCTCTCGTTCAGATTTATTGGAACTTTTGTGTCTCTAAAGATAAAATAGATTCATGAGCACCAGTTGAAGTTATTGGCTTTGTTGGGTGTTACCTGGTTTTTGCTGTCTCTCATTTCGCCAAGTCTGTCATGTCTTCTGGCAACCACACATGATATCCTGGCATATACGTAAAGGACTACTAAAAGTGGCAGGAAAAAGGAACCCATTGCAGAAAATATGACGTAGCCTCTGTTGCGATTGTAGCGGCAGTCCAAGGCTTGGTGTCTTCCAGGCTCGTACCTAGAAACAAATCGTACATAGTGAAAAACCATCAACTTCTAGTTCAGTTAAGTATGATGTGTCATTTATCATTTACCATCCGAGGATCGGTGGACAAGTGATAGCCAAAGCCAAGATCCAAACTGCCAAGATCATCATCAGTGCCAATCTTTTCGATCGCCTTCTACGCGAGTAGTTTAAAGGTTGTGTTACTGCTAAATATCTATCTATAGAAATTGCACAAAGGCTTAAAATTGATGCTGTGCATAGCAGGACGTCCAAGGATATCCAAACGTCACACAGGACCCATCCTAGTTGCCAAGTTCCTGGATAAAAGATAACATAATTAGATAAAAGATAAAAGAAGACATAATTTGGTAAATTTCTTGATTGGTACCCAGGCTGGTGATAGACAGAGGAGTACTTACCAACCCAGTGTAGAGCAACAGCTGGAGGCATCACAAATATACCAACAAGCCAATCAGCAACCGCCAAACTTGTCACAAAGCAATTAGTCACAGTGCGTAGTCTTCTTGTAGTCAACACTGAGAGTGAAACCAAATTTAAGTACCAAAAATTATGCACACTAATCAATCAACTTACCTGATGTGATGATCAAAGTATTCCCAATAACAGTGATGACAATTATAAAACAAAGCAGAACAATCAATACCAACTCCTGCCAAGTATGTTGTTCATCTAAAAATCGTTTAGTATCCAAAAAACTTCTACCACTTCCCAAAACTACAATGGATGATGATGCTTCTGTCACGGTATCATTTATGTACTTGTAACTTTTTTCCAGCATTTCTAAGTTTGTGTCGATGATTTGCTCGCTGTAGACCAGGATGTCGTTAGAAACTTCTAAGAAAATTGCGCTGGTTGGTTCAAATTGCTGAAGGAGAGCTTCTGGTTGAGTTGTCATGGTGGGAATAGTTGTAGATACATAGTTTTGTTTAAAGATTCATCTTGGAAAATAGACAGTAGATAAAGTTGGATTTTATAGAAGGTTGTGTGTTTTAGCCAAGATTTTGTGTTGGACGTTTCTATACATTCTATGGTTTCTAAACCATGGTGATGAACTAGAATATGGATTATGTTGATGTTACTGTTATTGTGGTGATCTAGGAGATGGATTTTCTTAGATATCTATTACCAATTCCAGGTTGTTTTGGTGAAATGTTAGTTTTAGGTATGTTTATGCTGACTTTTTAACTTGTACCAACAAGTTCTATAGTCTCTTTTCAGCAAAGTTGAACACGGTTGATGTTTTGCTGGTGGTCAATCTTATTGACATTTTTAGAATTTGTACAAGGTTGATAATTGTTCTTATTGTAAGTTGTCTTGATCATTTCTCTTCACCAATTTATATAGATATATCTCCTGTTTGATGATGATCTACAACTATTAGTCAGCTCTAGACTCTGGCATTGGATTTGGATTTATGTCGGAATTTAATTGTTTTTGGAGATTTGTAGCAAATTGTGCTACAAAGAATCGGCAAGTGTAGATTGATAATTGTTCTTTTTGAAAGTTGTCTGGATCATTTCTTCTTACCAATTTATATAGATATATCTCCAGTTTGATGATGATCTACAACTGTTGATCAGCATTAGACTCTGGTATTTCCCTTTGGTTTTATTCCAAAACTTAAATATTTTTGGAGATTTGTAGCAAATCGTGCTACAGAGTATTTTCAAGGGCATCCAAATATTTAGAATATTTTTTTTTTGGTTTTTGAAGTAGCAACATCATTTACTCCAATCCAATCCTTACTGGTGACTTCTTGAGGTGAACTGATCTGGAATGAAGAAAAACAGTTGTTTATTGATCCATTTGCAACATATATGTGTGCTTAGCCCTGAGACGTGATATTTTATGATACTAGATTTGTATTTTATGATATTTGTAGATTTCTACAGATTCTAAAATGCAATTATAAAGTAAATTGGAATAAGTTGGAAGTTTTGCCAAAAGCATTTGGCAACGTTTGAAAATTAAGATTGGGATTCGATAAACGAAATTTATATGTACATATATATATATATATATATATATATATATATATTATATATATATATATATATATATATATATATATATATATATATAAAGAAAATAGAAAATTCTGATAACATTATCAGAAATGTTGACATTGTTGACATTTATGATGGGTGTCTAATTAGTCTGGAACATGTTTGACATTTATAGATACGTATGTATATATATATATATATATATATATATATATATATATATACACACACACATTTATTTATAGATTGATAACAAATATAGGCATCTATCCAATATTTAAATTGAATGTAAGTGACATTTTGCCTTGAGGAAAGTTGAATAAAGGTCTTCATATGTTTTAAGAGTCAATATAATAACAATTTAAATAAACAAATCAGAACCAATGTGTGTTAATAATTAATTTTTTTTTTTAAATTAAACCACTTGTCATAGGCCTATAATATTTTAAAATGTTTCTTTACACCAAGCCTTTACTTCTGAAAAGATTCTGATATTTTTTTTTATTGCAATTTTAAACTATAACTAAAACTTCACTAAACACACAACTGAATTTTGTTAAAAGTCCTCCTGAAGAGCTCATTGAAAATACAAAATTAAAAAAAAAATTAAAAGTTAATTAATGTCAGAAAATACTTTATATACACATATACAAATAAAGACGAACGCTCACCTAATTGATTTGATGAACACAAATCTATTGACTGGGGTGTAGATCCGTACAAATGCAACGGAAATGCGTTACGGCAGAACTGTGCGTCTTCGCTTTCGATGAAATCATTTCTATACGAGTCCATTGTGATTAGTCGTCGTGTATATGAATAGAGATCTGTCGTTGTATGCGTACCGGCATAAACGTTGTATGCGTACCGATATCAACAAGGAAATCGGCATAGATAAATAAACATTTTAAAGTTACATCGTAGTAATCAGAAGAACTTTTTACCCTGTTCCTTGAAAATAATAAAACAAATTAAACTTTTGTGCCGTGTACAAACGTAAGTTTATTGATTAGAAATTATTTCTATATTATTCGTAGTTTCTATAAATCTTCGAAGTTATTAAAATGGAAAATATTTTTAGGCAAGATGGAGAAATTGATTTGATGAATACAAATATTCTTTGGAAAAATTTTTACAAGTGTCAGAAATTACTTTATATGTATGACGACATTAGGATAAAAAAACATATAAATACGAACGCTCACCTATTAATAGAGACAATAATTTGAACACGAATTTTAGATAAAAAAGTGATCATAGACATCTAGATTATTATAATGAAAATTACATCATTAACTATTCTAAACCTTTCCAAACTACAGCTGAAACTCTGCTGAAAGATTGAGAACTTGTGAGACTGAATATGAAAAAGTTAACAACAGATGTATGAAATAGTTAATCGATTATGCATATATATATATATATATATATATATATATATGCATATAAATTTATTATTCATGCGAACGTATCGTTAGTTCCGGTAACCCTAATTAAATTTTAGTGGTTGTTCATCATCCACCCACCTAGTTCGGCACTGGTGTCGAATCAACCCTAAAATCACGGTACAGATATTGAACTAGGTTTGAGTGACATCTTGAAAAATTTATAAAAAATTGAAAAACACTTTTGTTTGTTTTAGATTTATAAAATTGCATTATGTTGAAAGATAATATATGCTTATTCTAAGAACAAATACTAAAACTCATGACTAGACATCATAAAATTATTGACTAGCTAAACAATAATGTTGTGTTATTAGTTTTTAATGTCAATTTAAAAAAATCTGTTCACACATACACACACATACAAAAACACACACACACATACTTTTTCCAAATTTGGTCTTATTCGATTCAGAATTGCTTGGAACGTCGAGAAAACATAAAATTAGCAAATCGAATTTTTTTATGAAAACAAACTTTTCCTTCGGGAAGTTAATTATACCGACTTGCTCTAGCATTTTTGTTATTAGTAAGGGTTGGACATTATTTAATAAATTTTTATAATTAAATCATTTTTTGTAAGCCTCAAATACTTCAGCATGTTCATCAAGACCATGAACTTGACATGTACAGACTTCTGTACGGATCGGAGACATGGACTCTAAGTGAAAGTTTTAAAATGTGGTGCTGGAGGCAAATGGAGAAGATAAAGTGGACAAACAAAATAACAAATGAAGAAGTCCTGAGAAGATGGGGAAAAAAAGGATTCTACTGAGCACAATCCTGAAAAGAAAAGGAAACTGGATCGGACCCGTTCTGCAAAAAGAGTGCCTCCTGCACGACGTCGTCGAGAGAAAAATAGAAAGACTGAAGGGAATTGGAAGAAGAAGAATGCAGGCGATTACTAATTACCAAGAAACAGAAAAATATTCCTTTTTTATTTGGACCTATCTTTGAGCTTCACTATTAATTTTAGTTTAATAGAGATACGGTCCCTGATAATTTTCGGTAGGCAAAATGTTCGGGATTATTCCCATAACTATTAATACTACCGCCATTTAGCTGTTGTGAACAAACAGTTTTATGGGATATTGCTGAAATTTATATATGCATATATACATATATATATATATATATATATATATATATATATATATATATATAAATAGTCTAGAATTTGATGTTGATATAATATGTTTAACTTGAGTTAAAAAGTCGGGCGTTACATCAGTAAAAATAGTATGAGAGTTTTTAGAAATTTATTTATTTAAAATCTATACGTTTCGGCTAGCATCTTACTCTTCATTCAGTGGCAATCAATTTAACTATAAAAATTAAAATTGAATAAATAATAATTTCATAGAAATTTCATAGAAAAACTATAATGATAATAATAATAATAATAATAATAATAAACACTTACAATTTTGTATCCTAATATAACATATGAAAACGTTATTAATCCATGGTATGAGTATGTGCACATTGATAAAATATATATTTTTTAACATCACAGATCGTAAAACACACAAATAAACCTGATAACTTAACAAGTTGTCGAAACTATGTATTTACTGTTTGGAGTTTAAGGTAGAAATGTCACATTTTTTCTTTAAGCAGTTTTTAGCATGGGTTCAAATTTTAGGAGAAATTTAAAAAGCGGTGAGATCTTGTTATTTTTTAAGAAATTTTGAAACGCTAATTAGGAACCACGTGTTTGTTTCGTTCAGTGCCGTATTGTCGAATCGTTTGTTTATGACTCTATCGTTATGCAATTGCAAAAACAACCCCTCAGCGAATCTTCTTTTAATTACATTCTCTTCAAAATGTGAAATTTTTGTGTTGAAAAAATCTATCATGGTTCAAATTATTAATATGCTCGGTTAACATCGTCTTGAATTGTTTGGGATATTTTGAGTTATTTTTAAGTTAAAGACTATTCAAATATATATATATATATATATATATATATATATATATATATATAATAGATGTCCTTTAGGGTCTTAAATCGTCCTTATATTATCTAAAAGGGTCCTTTATATCTTTATCTGTCTTAGATTTAATAATAATCCCGCAGCCCATATTGTTTTATGGCGGTCGCCTCGGGGATCCTTCCAATATGCGAAAATATGTCGATTTCCTATATTTTCATTTGAATATTATTTACATTTGTAAAATATATACATATAAATATGTATATACATTTATTCTTACTTATTTTTTTAAATAAAAGATTATAAATATAGACTCTAAACTATAGATTTTTTCACTCAAAATAATTGTTCCAATAATGTTGCCTATAATTTTTATATCTCGTATCATATTTTAACTGGTTTTAATAATTATAATATTTAAATTACATTTTTCTTAGTAATAATTTAATATTATAAAGACGACGCTCCTGGGGTCCTCAGGGCCCACATGCCATTTTTTTTCTAGCG